TTTCCCAATATTCCATACAGCAGCATGAAATACCCGGATTGCTAGTGTCCTCTTGTGAATTCTGAATCATAAAGATTATTGTGCCTAACTCTAGTCTAGTACTTTGTCCTTCAGCTCTTTTGACAAGTAAAAACACAGCCATAAACCTGGATCCATGAACTAGAATTTTACCGGTATTGAATTTCTCTCTAGGCTACAGCTCAACAAGGTAGAAAATAAACACAATTAAACAGACAAAAAAATTAATGTTTGACTATCTTGCCGATTTTCTTACTTATGAAATTAACTTATCTGGTTGTTAACTTCTTTTGTTGTGCTTTATTGACGAGTATGTTTGGACTAAGTACCTTATATTTGCATTGGTATGTTATTGTTTGGTGCATATGAGTAAAGAAAATAGGGCTACGTTTCACAGCCCCACCTAGTGTCAGCAGAAAGTATTAAAATAATAATTACAAAGAAATGCAAAAAAATGCAAAACAAATACATTTTAAAATATATTTTACGATCATGTTTAATCATCTGATTTGTCTGTACATCAAGGTTCAAGGTTCTTTATTGTTAAACTAACATAGCTACAGAGTAATTATGTCGTTGAAAATCTTAGGTCACAGGCTTCTCCAACAATGCAACATTGCTGTTTTAGTCTGTGGTCTTCTTATTAGTGTCTACAGTGTGTGCCTATTGAGCCGTTTTGAGCGACGTGGGTCAAGCCCTGATCTAGCCCCTCTCTCTCACTGTCAAAGTGAATGGGTGCTGTAAAAACTACACTGTGCAAGCTCTGAGTCTGTTTCTATTCAATGTGTGCGGCAAAAAAATAATCACCATAGGGGCACTGTGCTGACATACCCACCAAACGTCATCTCATAATTCAGAGCTGATTGGCTGGAAGTACGTGTGCCGCGAAAAGTGTGGTGTGTGAAGAGGAGACGAGAGAGAGCAGTGACGCGTCCTAAAACCAGGAAGTAAGCTGCGCATGGGTTACCTTCCACAAAAAAGCAATGAGATTTTTCTATAGGATTTGAGAAAATAGCTCAACATGCAAAGGGTGACTAGATATACTGTTAGATAAATGCACGTTTTGTTCAGCAGGATAATATCCACATGTCTACCCTACTTTAATAATTTTCGAATCATAAATCTATCGATTAGATTTATGATAGACTTTTGAAACTACAAGAAGATAAGGAGGACTTTTACAAAAAGTAATAAGAGATTTTTGTCCAGAAGGATAGGCAAATGGACTTCATCTTCAAGTCAAGGTAAGACCG